CTCTTAAACTCAAATTGACACCTCTGCTTGAAGTCACCATAGAGGATTCTGCTGGGGAAACCCTTTCTGCAGATTCTGATGCCCTCCAGTACACCATTACACCTCAGCTGGTGGATGACCAGGAAGTTCTCCATAAGACCTGAGAGTCAGAAATTCATAATGTTTCAAAATTTTATTTATGTCACTGTGTAATGTTTTGGGCAGTTAGTAGGACTGTGGGCTTTTTACCTGGGGTCTTTGACTCATTGGGAATCAGACAACGGACAAAGTGAGGATGAGTGCTTCTTAAGTTGGTCATCAGCTTGGCCAGATTCTCCTGTAGATCAACATCATTAGATAATAGGTTAATCATATTTAAATATGAGTAAAAAATTATTTTTCCTGCAATACAAATCTATACATACTCTGAAGAGAGCAGACACAGTCTGAAAGGAACCACCCTTCTTCTTACCACCCTTCTTGCCACCACCACCAGCAGCCTCTGTTTTCATAAATAGTAAATTTCATCATAGGAATTTAATGAATATTTTTCAGAGTATACATATTAGTCTACATTATGCACATTATAGTTATTAGACAGATACATACTATCTGTACTGGACACGTGAGCTTGTGTGCACTTTTGTTTCTTACCATCAGCTCCACCATGGGTTGCATACAGGAGGGCCAACAGTTTGTTTGAAGACTTCTGGTAGAGCTGCACAACTGAGTCATTCAGTGGGTCCTTGTTCTTGTCCAGCCAGCCAGTGATATTGTAGTCCACTGTACCAGCATAGTGAACCAGAGCAAAGTGTGCCTCAGCCTTGCCCTTTCCAGGCTTTGGCTTCTCAAAGCATTTGGTCTTGCCAAGATGCTGATCGTGCAGCTTGTTCTTGAACGTTGTGTCAGAGGCCTTGGGGAACATGCACTCCTCTTCAAGGATGGAGAAGATGCCCATTGGCTGAGAAAATGGCACATGTCATATTAAAATTTCAACAGAGATAACATATGCAACCACACGTACATTTCTTCCAGAGCAGCTGTTTACCTTCTCAATAAGCTCAATGCAGGCAGCCAAGTCCATACCAAAGTCAATGAACTCCCATTGAATACCTTCTTTCTTGTACTCCTCTTGCTCCAGGACAAACATGTGATGGTTGAAAAACTGTTGCAGTTTTTCATTGGTGAAGTTGATGCAGAGTTGCTCTAAACTGTTGAACTGTAATGGTACAATGGTATTTAATTTCATAGCAAAAGATTGTTTTTCTTCAAAAATACTCAAATATTCCTCAAGTGCTCACATCAAAGATCTCAAATCCAGCGATATCCAGCACTCCAATGAAGAACTGTCTGGGCTGCTTTGTGTCCAGCATCTCATTGATACGGATAACCATCCACAAGAACATTTTCTCATATACGGATTTGCACAGAGCTGAGACAGCATTGTTGACCTGGAATAAGAGAATTTAAATTAGTTTTTCTCAAAAATAAATAAATGAAAAGATAAATAATAGTATATGTTCATATGTCAAAATGCAAATATTTTAAAACTTTTACTCACTTACCTGTGGGACGGTCTGACCTTTAGTCACCATCTCATTGCCAACTTTAACTCTTGGGTAGCACAGAGCCTTCAGCATGTCAGCTGAGTTCAGACCCATGAGGTAGGCGATTTTATCAGCCACTGATTGATAAATAGAAATTTAATGCTTTTGGTCAACTGGAAAATATTTAGTTAGCCCAAGTTAGACTCTAATCTTCTGTGAATCAACAGATTTAGTAGATTTTTCTCATTTACCCTCAGTGCCATCAGGTTCAGCCTGCTCCTCACGCTGCTTCTGCTTGAATTTCATGTTGCCATGATGCATCACAGCACCAGTCAGCTTGTAGATGCCCACTTTTTCCTCAGCAGTGAAGCCCAAGATGTCAATTCCAGTCTGAATTGCACATAAAAGGTATTAATTAACATTGTGATATTTTTGTCTTCTCTCTCTCTACATATATATATACACACACAAATACATATATGATTTATGTATTTGCAGTGAACTGGGTCTTTACATCAGTTGCAATGAACTCCTCCACATCATTAATGCTTTTGACAGTCACTTCACCCTGACTGATCATTGGATAGTCATAGGGATTTGTGGTGATCAGAAGAGCCTCTGAAAGATCAGAAGAAATGCATAAATAAATGTTATGAAACTAAATTCAACTTCATGGTACAAATAGCTGTGAGTACATACCCAGGAGCTCAGGCTTGTGGCCTGTCATCAGCTGATAGAAGATATGGTAGCTCCTCTCAGCAGACAACTGGAAGGTGACACGGGACTTCTCCAGCAGATCTAAGACCAAAAATTCAGTGTCAGACAAAAGCATGCAGATTTCATAACATCAGACAGCAACAGTGAATAAAATGTAAAAAAAAAAAAAATGTAAAAAATAAATTAAAAAAACAAAAATAACTTACATGTTTCAATATCAGCTGAAGCCAGCTTCCCAGTGGTTCCAAAATGAATTCTGATAAATTTACCCTAAACATATAAGATTTAAATTAACAGTTATTTTGACAGTTTGCTTTAAAACCTGATATTCTTTTCTGTTCCAACACTTACAAAGCGAGAGGAGTTGTCATTCCTCACAGTCTTGGCATTACCATATGCCTCCAGCAGAGGGTTAGCTGCAATGATTTGATCTTCCAGGGAACCCTAGAAAAATTATGTTACACCTTTGTTGGTATATTGTAAAAACTTTACTTACTTTTTCCAAGTAAAAGCAGTTATACCTGCATCTTGCCAGGTGTAGTCTCTGCCTTCTTGGATCCAGTCATTGCAATTGTTGCGAAGTACTGGATGACACGCTTAGTATTGACAGTCTTTCCTGCACCAGATTCTCCGCTGATTAAAGAAAGAGTTGAATTGAGTTTTATTGTGTTTTTTCATATGTGACATTATTGGTATATTACTCACGTGATGAGGATAGACTGGTTCTCACGATCTGAAAAGAACAAATACTTAAATTAATTGTTAATTTAAAACCACAAATGATCAAATATATATATATATATATATATATATATATATATACTTAGTATATCCCCTAAAATAAGACATACCAGTGAGCATGAACTGATAGGCATTATCAGAGATGGAAAAGATGTGGGGTGGAGCCTCAATCCTCTTTTTGCCCCTGTATGCCACGACAACCTTAGCATCATACACAGGAAGCCACTTGTAGGGATTCACGACGACACAGAACAGGCCGGAATAAGTCTGGAAAGCAGAGTAAGTTCACAAATGTCATTGTGTCCACACTGAATCTATATCATTGTAATGAGTTCTCTCCAGTATTGAAAAGTAGAGATCAGAACACACCATTATTAAATGTTTGTTAAACACTTACATAGATCATCCATGATGCAAAACGCTCTTTGAGGTTAAACAGCACGGCAGGCTCGTTGAGGTGGGTCATCATGGCCATGTCCTCAATTTTATCAAACTTTGGGGGATTCATGGGGTGGATTTCATCCTCTTTTACAGTGACTGTCTACATAGAAAAAAAAACAATAAAAAAATTGATAAGTACATTATTTAATATATAACATTAATCTTATCTGTTTTCCTGAGAAAGTTGAAGGGTCAGAATTCTTGAAGTTAGAATCTTTTATGAATATTCACTTACCTTTCCGTTAAGTGTCTCAACAGTGGCTTTACCACCCTCCTTCTTGACAAGTTTGCCCTTGACATACATCTCATCAGGAACAGTCACAAAGTAAGCCGACTTGGCATCAAATGGAGCAGTCTGGGCCTCAATCCTCTCCTTTTCTGGCTTGCGGAGATAAATGGCCGCAGGGCCATACTGCTCCATCTCTTTGTCTGTGCTCATTTTGGCACTTTAGTGGTAACTGACAAAAGGAGAAGGGATATGAATGAGTTGGGACATATTTAATTGTAATATAGTTTTTTTGGAAATATTTTTTTAATGAACATTATTATAACCATTTGGGAGTTGTGTTATTTAACACACATCTCACCTCACTTTACCCCGACTGAGTGGCTCTGATCTGTTGTTATCTGAAGATGCATTTAAAGAAAAATATAGATGGAAGTCAACATATTTGTACTGCTATCACCTACAGCAGTCACATCACACAGAATTTCAGTTAAGCAGTGTTGCTTGGTTGCATAATTTTTTACGGTTTTCAAACATTCAGTAATCCATACACAACATTTCAACTGTTTCATTTCAACTCTTAATCAAAGATTTAATCTATTTGATCAGTAAATCAGTAGCATTTGATATTTCCTTTTCTTTACCAGTGCTAAACTGAAAAAATGGAAGAAAGGGTATGATAAATTTGATTAAAAGTTAATTCAGTTTAATAAACAAACAAGCACTGACCTGTTGGGGATGCCTTTCAGTTCTCCAACGAGACTGAAGTAGTTGCTTTTATACAGGCTTAAACAGCTTGGTCAGCAGCAGTCTGCCTCTCGATTTGGTCAAGCATCCTTGTCATTGAAGACCCCTCTTGTGACATATTATTATTACTCAGCTTTTTGTGTACCAGATTTGATCTTGCTTAAATGAGAAAATAGTTCCAATACAGGAAAAGGAAAACTAAATATTAAATTAATCAGTCAAGCCGGAAAAGAATTTTATAGAAGTATAGTAAGATTGAAAATAAAAATAAATAAATAAATAGGCAAATAAAGCAGCTTCAAGTTCCTTTATTGCATGGGACATTGTATGTTCTATGTCATCCTTGTTGAATGATACAAAAAGATCAAATTAAAGCCATTTTGAAAACATAAATAATCTATTACAGGAGTTGTTGCTTTGACTTCCCTTTTTAAACCCATTACCTCTTTCCATTTGGAAAGATGTACTGAAATGTCATTAGTATTGAGTGTCATAGCTTGTCCACATTTCAGATATTTATAATACTGTAAAAATGTAGTATCATTTACATGACTCAAAAACAAGAAAAGTAAACCCCTCATAGAAATTATGTTAATTTTAAAGATAATGCAATTTTATGTTGGTAATATTGTGCAATATGTTCTAAATAAGCACTGGCAATAGCTTTATTTTAGCTCATAAAAAGAGTAATGTCTCAAGTATGCACTAAAATAGTTGCTAATAGATGAACATATTTTTAAGCACGAATTTTAACCAATAAATCATTAACTCAGGTAAAGTTTGAATCTTGGGAAATATTTATTTTATTTTATTTTAGAGTGAGAGGTTGTCACTACTTAGCCACACCTTTAAACATGTTCTTAGTACGAATGAAAATTAATTTTGGAGAAGCCTCCATGTGTTGCTGGTATACAGTTGCAGTGCATTGGCATATCTATCTGAGTGGGACTTATTATAGGTCTTATCTCAGCCTGTTTGGCAAATGTTCTTCTAGTGCTTATAAGGCAATATGTAATACCACTTGAACTGTATGGAAAAGGCCATACATTCAGTTTTATTGGAATATGAGATGTGTCAATGTTCTGCAACTGTACACCAGCACCTCTTAGGTGCTCCTCCAAAATGAATTCCCATTCCATTCTCTACTGGTAAGTAGAGACAACCTCGGTCAAAGATCTTTATCCTCAAGCTAAATTTGATGTTGTTTTTCTTTTTGAAATATGGTGCCATTGATCAACTGTGTGACTTTCATTTTAAAACATTAGTAGCATAGTCCCAAAAGTAGAATAATCTATATAATCTCCCAAATGGTTGACAGCCGCCTGAATGCCACTCAGAGGAATTAACAAACAAAATGGAGAATCACAGTTTTTTTTGTCTTTAACTTGACATAGAATTATATAAATCTAACTGGGTTCATAATAACTTAAGGACTGGGATATGCGAGTTATAATTTGATGACTTCTGTTGGCTAATGATGGTGTAGATAATTATATCAGTCAAAAAGGGGAAACTGGTGTTGTTTATTAAAAGCTATAAAACATTACGACATGTTTACTTTTGTAAAAAACAAACAAACAAACAAAAAAGTCCCGCAAAAATAAATAGATTTTGCTCTCTGTCTTCATTAACTGGATTTCTATTAACTTGTGTATTCACAGACCCCAAAGGTATACCTTTCTGTAACTTTTAAGTCGATAATCATAGGTGCAGTAGGCAGGTTTCGTCACACTGTGCAATTTTTATAGCTCCTTGTAAACATATTAGATGCTTCATGTGCAACCAGAAAAAAACTATATTTGAACCAAATGTATTTATTCAGTACATTTATCCCTTGATTTTAACAAAAGGTCAGATTGAGATCATGAGAACATTTTGCAAGATGGTGTTTTCTTACAGTAGTTTATTCCTGGGGTCCATAGAGACTCACGTCAGTAATCATCTTACTACAGTGATTTATATGTTGATATAAGATAGCCTACAATATGGCCTAATGACTTGCTTAAGCACTGTACATATTTTTGGACTATTATTTGCCTGGAAACATTTTACCAGCAGAGCTTCACTTACCATGATTTAAAGAAAACAGTTACAGAAAATGTTTCAAGACGGAAATTCAAGCATATGGCTAACCACTTTCTCAGATAGTTAAAACAATGCTTATCTGCTAGATTTTAAATGTACCTGTCATTGCATTTTTATATTGGATTTAATTTCCTTCAGTTAATAAAGTTGTGCCAAAAAGAGAGACACTGTTGCTTAAATGTCAGATAAATTACTCGAAAGAAGACGTTTGATATTAAATGTAGATTTATTTTTTTTTAGACACAATAAACAGTAAACATATTTTTCTGGGCTAATGTACGCGAGAGCTCTTCTGAACTACAAACATCGCGCCGTTTGTAGTTTTTTGTGACTCGGGCTTGTGCACTCTGGCACCGGAAGTTCCTGTGAGGGTTACACGCTTTGAGTACGCAAGCTAGTATTAGCTTGCTAAAGTTAGCATAGCTTTTATCCGGAACAGCCGCCTTTTCTGTGAAGAAATGAAAACATTAAACGGAAAAACCGATGTCATATTTGTAAGTTACACTACACCGTATATTTCACAGAACATTTGTTAGTGTTTGTTGATTAGAGGTTTTGGGTAGCTAGCATTAACTTTAACTTTATTCTAGCTAATGTGGAAGTTTGATAAAACTTGAAATCAGAGATACGTTTTGCCAAATCGACTGTGTTTACACATTTGAAACAAAGAAATGATCTTTTTATGATTTATTAACTATGAAAAATCGCTACAATAGTAACACCGCTGTTTGGTTTCTGGATACTAGGAGGACGACGATCTACCTTATGAAGAGGAGATCATCAGGAATCCATATTCAGTCAAGTGCTGGATGCGTTACATCGAATTCAAACAGAATGGACCAAAATCTACCCTCAATATGATATATGAGCGGGCTCTAAAAGAACTCCCTGGCAGGTAACTAACAAGACCGTTACAACAAAATTGTGGACATTGTGCTGAAAAGCCAATAGCAACGGATAACTCAAAACCCATAGACTATACATTATTTTACAAGATTCTGTGCAGCAAGTATTTCCCGACTGTCTAACCACCCTTCCCACTCATTTTTGCAGCTATAAGTTGTGGTACAATTATCTGAGAGAGAGGCGAAAACAAGTCAAAGGGAAATGTATCACAGAACCAGGCTATGAAGAAGTCAATAATTGTCATGAAAGGGCACTAGTGTTCATGCACAAGGTAATACCTGCTATAGAACTTGATGCTTAGCCACTTTACTCAGAAAAGTAATATTTGGTCTGCAAGAGCTTTGCATAATACTAACTATTTGTCTTTGCTTAAACTAGATGCCTAGAATATGGATGGATTACTGCCAGTTCCTTGTGTCTCAATGCAAGATCACAAGAAGTCGTAGAACATTTGACCGAGCACTTAGAGCTCTTCCTGTAACTCAGCACCCACGCATCTGGCCTCTGTATCTCCGCTTTGTCCGTGACTTGCCGTTGCCTGAGACAGCCATCCGAGTGTACCGCAGGTACCTTAAGGTGAGAAGATACTGCACAACCTTAAGTCCATACAGCAACTGTCATTTAAAATGTTAAGGTGATTTCTGATTTTATTTTTGTTTTACAGGTGTCATCTTTCAAAGTGTATTCTGTGGCATAAATGTTGTCTGTAGCATCTGAAGATTCTTAGCTGTTATGCAAAAGACCTTACAAGCATTCAATAACAAGCTTTACGGCTGATTAAGAAAGTTTTAAAAGATAGACAAGTTCCCTAATCTGTTCAGACAGAATACCTGCGAAAATATTTCTTTCTGAATGTTTAATGTCTTACTGTCTTCTCTTGATACCTTGTAGCTTTCTCCAGAAAATGCAGAGGAATACATAGACTACTTGCGGTCTGTTGGCCGCCTCGATGAAGCAGCTGTGCGGCTAGCAGCTGTTGTCAATGATGAAAACTTTGTGTCCAAAGAGGGAAAGTCTAACTATCAAGTAAGATGGGATTCTTCCAGACACTTTTCAACATTCCCGCCTTTTAAGCTAAATGAAAAGAAATCTAAAAAAATGTTTTTCTTCTTCTTTTTTTGGACAGCTGTGGCATGAACTATGTGACCTGATCTCCCAGAATCCTGACAAGGTGACCTCTCTGAATGTAGGAGCCATCATTCGAGGAGGCCTCACTCGCTTCACAGATCAACTTGGAAAACTTTGGTGCTCCTTAGCTGACTATTACATCAGGAGTGGCCACTTTGAGAAAGTGTGTTTCCTCTGAATAGCATTAATTTTCACCCCTAATATAATTAACTAACTAAAACACATCTCTACTTTACGTTTTTTTAGGTTGAGTCGTTTGCATTAAAATAATTTGTTATCTGTGAATTTGTTCAACTGTAGCCAAACATTTTTTTTTTCCTCAGGCACGTGATGTCTATGAAGAGGCC